CCCCCTAAAGATATCTGAAAACTGAAGCACAATCTGGACCTAGATGAAAGCTTCTTTCGAATCTGTAAAGTTTAGTTTTGTCTATCCATATCTGAGGAAGAAGTGATTCTGGCTCTGACCTCCATGTAATGCAAGTTAATGAAATCCACTGGGATAAAACTTTGGAAAGAAAACTACCTTAGGATTGCATACGGTGGAAATGACTTTAAGGCTCACAATAGCAACAATCTACTTGCAAGTGATATTAGAACATCCTAAATATGCTAAAGCGGGCTTGGGGAAATTTTGCCCTTCCCTGTGTTTAGGACTTCAACTCCCCCAATTCCGAACAGCCAATTTGCTGTTAGAAATTGTGGGAGGGAGGTGAAATCCAAAACATCTGGAGGGTCAAAGTTTGCCTATGCCTGCACTAAAGGAACCAGATCCCATCTTGCCATAAGTCCACAGGCAACCTGAAGGTATGTACACATACACACACATTATGTAAAGGATAGAATATTCAAGGAAACTGCCTCACAAAATGGAAAATTGTATTCCCCCACCGCACCCCAAGATATTGTTGGACTCTGACACCCAATAGACCCAACCAATGTGGCCACATGTGAGAGGCAAAGAAGTTGTAGTGCAACAATTTTTGCAGCGTCAAAGATTGCCCAAGCCTGAATTAAGACTGTCATTCTGCTTAAATGAAAAGGTCCTTAAAGAAGCATTAAATTCGTGTTTCTCAGGGTGGAGCACGTTTCCCACAAGGAAATACTAGAGAATAAGGGATTTATTTTTTTTTAGAAAGGTCTAGTCTTTTTGTAAGGAAGATGGAGGCTTATAGAACACATCGAATGGAGGCAAAAAGAATGAATACAGAAATAATGGAAAACTGAGTGTAGTGCTGTGTCCACACTCCCCCCACATACAATCCAGAAGATACAGGACAAACTAAGGAAAGAGCTTCTGCATACAAAGTACTATTAAAGTTATGAAATGCACTGCCACAATCCATGACAATTGTCAAAGTCCTAAACCAATCCATTGACCTGTCAACAGCCATTTATTTAGCCACAATATTGAAAAGGGCAGGAGAGAACTAAGGAAGTTTTTCGGTGCAATGAATTGGATGATTAAAGGATTGGCAATATGGACGATGAAACTGGATTATGATTTTAGTCAGGAGATGCATTGGATTGTTATTGACGGGCCAATATTGTGTATTGTGTATGATGTTTTTTATGGTTTTTAACTGAATACTGTTGATTGTTGTATTTTGTATTTTGTTGTAAACCGCATTGAGTCGCCAGTTAGGCTGAGAAACAGCGGTATATAAGTACAGTAATAAATAAATAAATAAAATAAGTTCTCAGAAGGATGACTTTTTGGACTATAACTCCCAGAATCCCCAACGGCCATTCTGTTTCATTCATTCTTCTAGAAGACATGCAGTCTAACTTTTGATAATTCAAATGAAAATATACCAAACTTGAAAAATGTATCACCCCATTGCTAAGCCAAACTCTTTGTCTCCCAAAGCTCATTTGTAGTCTCCTGGCTTCAGAAAGCCAGACTCTTTTGTCATCTTGGCTCCTGCTCAAGAAGAAAGGCACACTCCAAATAAAATAAATGATAATAAATCTTGTTGGCCTCAGTAATTCATTCCCTATTTTTGGGCCAGAAGACTTCTGGTTTAGAGGACTTCCATTTGCTTTAATAGATCATACTAGCGTCTAGAAAACAGTAAACATAGCTCACAGAACCATACATTTCAAACTGAAATATTCATTCCATTTCTATATAATATCTGATACTATTACTTAAAATTCTCCAAATCTCAAGAGACCAACTATGCACAGAAATGGGGTTTTAATATGATTTTTTTAAAAGAAAAAATATATGTGTACATTTCATATTCAGAATAGGGATGAGAAACTGGCAGATCTGAGGGTGATTTCAGTCTCATGGACTTATAAAAATAACCCGAATTTGCAATAGCCCAAAGTTCATTTCTTGTTTTGAAAAATAAAGTACAAACATATTTGGGGGCTACATTTGGACCCCAAGACTGTACTTTGTTTTCTCTATCTCCCCTTTGGGGACATAGGATTGTATATAAATAAAGTATTATTATTTGAAATGTAACAAGATTAGTACATAGCAAACAAGATCACTATGCTGGCTGTTGTATTGGATCATTATTATTAGTAGTAGTATTAGTATGTATTGTTTAGTATTTATTTATTTATTAATTATGATGTTTAACGAACTGCTAGCAATGAACTCCTTCTCCAACATTGGACTGGTGTGAAATTAATAGGAGTTAATGTGAAGCATAAAGTTTACAGGATGATATAATTCCATCTCTTATTCTTTTTTTCTCTCTAAAAAGCAAACGCTTACCTGCTATCTTACCTTAAACTAAGAAATAAAAATTGGTTTGAGACTCTGGGCTGCTGTGGTTAGCTCAAACCAGTTTAACACTGCTGCTAACTTGAGTGTGAATGATATCTGGGAAACCAAGCAATCTTACTACTTGCACCTTAATGATCTTGGTAAAGCATTTAACTTATTACAATGTAACCCTAAGAAAACTCTATGAAACTCATTGTTTTGCCGTAATGCAACTTGAAGACACACACAAAGCCCCATTTCCTCCTACTAGCTCAAGTCAGAATCTCTTTCTCCTACGTGCCATTTTCACAACAACACCTTGAAGGAGAATGATCAACATTACATCTGCATTTGCCCTCAAAATTACAAAATGACAATAAAATCCCCCAAAGCTGGCAACAGTTGTCAGTCCAATGTCTGCTTAAATAAGTAGATACACAATATTGAATCTACAACAAAAGGAACCTCTGTAACATCCAAATTGTCAATATGCAGGGAAACATTTTCCACAGTTTGCCCCCACATCCATTACCAGACATGCATTTCCCCAAAAAGCACAGCAGGAGAAGCCATGCTTTTAGCAAAGACTCCAAAAATCCATTCTTTCCTTTAACAAAACATTTCTAGCAGCTTGTTTCTATCTTTCAAACTGATAATGTTGAAAAGTCTCTTGTGACCAAACCACAGCGATAACCCCACTTGACTACTTCAACTCTGAAGGATGGTTAGGCAATAAAGACTCGTAGCTAAGACGCTACTACAGTGCATCCCAAAAATGTATACACAGCTACCCAAAGCGGCTTACATTAAAAGCATATACAATTTAAAATCCAAACATATATTTAAAATAGGATTAAGTATCAATGGTACAGTTAAATCCTGAAAACAGATTAAAAACATATTCAAAGCTAAAATCACACCATTCCCTGACTTGATCTTTTTTTTTTTTCTTCTATAAAAGCCTGTCTGAATAAAAGGTAACAAATTACAATTTTATTTAAAGTTTTCAAATAGTCATTCCTACACAGCAAGGTTTGCAAACCTTAGGTTTCTCTGCTAAGGGATCTTTAATCCTGGTTAAAGGCATACACATTTTTGGGAAGTTATTAATAATAAAAACATAATGCTATTGAGGATGTGCACATTTTGGGAGGACATCTTACGTCTATTATGACTACAAACCCAGACAACCATTTTTGGAGGCTTACTTTCTGGGAAATATAGATAGGATTTGCATCATGTTTCCTGATGCTTTTATAGTTCTATAAAGTGTGTTTGCACTAACTGGAGGAAGGAGGAACTGGAATAATCAGGAAAAGAAAAGAAAGGATACGAATGTCCCGGACTACAAAAAACTTGTTAAGTAATCATGGCCAACAGGGGAAAATGATGTATTGGCCTACTTGTAAAAAAAGGACAAAAAATGAAAGGCATCTTGCATGTTAATGAAGTTAATAATATGGGGAGAGGGGTTCTCCCTGCTGCAGACATCCCTTATCCAGTTGGTACTTCATATACAGGCTAGTACATACTGATGAATTCTGGTCAAGTATATTAATCTCAGAGCAACAACTTGGAGGTGAATTTGGGGGCCGGAAGGAGCTGGCATTTTGAAAGCACACTGGTGGGGAAAAATCAACCATTCATCAGCTATAAATCTAGTATGTTGCCACTACAGGCCTTCAACTGAGGCATCTTCTATTTCGGAAAACAGTAACTACTTGTTGTAAACTATGCACAAGGCTTTTTGAAGTATGCATAAGCCACTAGTTTTGTCCTATTTTTCAAAGTACAAGAAGCATTACAAAGATTTGGAAATCACTGCTTCCATCCCAGTATGAAATCAGAGAAACCACAATCATTTACATGCATTTTCCCATTTTAAAACCATGTGCTTTACACAGAAGCACTCTATAAGGCCCTTTAACACTACTCAGTTAAAGTGATGTGAATCCACTTCAAATCTTAAGACAACATCCCATAGAATCCTGGAATCTGTAGTTTAAAGAGAATTCATAGAATTCCCAGCCAAGGTATTATAATGCCTCACCAAACTACAAACCATCAGATTCTGCAGGAGGTAGCCATGACAATTAAAGTGGAATTATAGTGCTAGTATGAAAGAGCTAGTGCTGAAAGTAAACTATAAGGACAACTAGGCAGTCCACGAGTTACAAACATCTGACTAACAAACGACTCATAGTTAAGAACAGGGGTGAGACAACAGGAAATGATAGAAATCTAGACCTAGGAAGGGAAATCCACTCCTGAAAGAGTTGTCATGGGGAAAAGGTATTGCAACGGAAGCTTTCTCGCCAATGCTCGTTTCCACAACAAGCCATTTTTTTTAAAAAAAATATCCAATTCTCACAGAAAGTGAGGTGAAATCTTCTGAACAGGGGCACAGACAGCAACAAACCCCACAGGGATGTTAGCCCTTCCATATGTTATCCAAAGCTGGAGTCACACTTTAAAAGGTACCTGTTCCAACTTACAAACAAATTCAGCTTAAGAACAAACCTACAGAACATATCTTGTTCATAACTTGGGGATCACCTGTACTCTGTTGACAGTACAAAATAATCCAAAGCTATAAAGAAACATTTGCAATAAAGTAAGATTACCAGTAGAAAGCTATTTTGTCTCCAAGTTTTTTCTCATAGACATTTCTGTCCAACAGATTGTAGCAGATGTTGGTTGTAGCCCCTTTCATCCATTCAACAAAGATTTTCCCTTTGGTGACATCAAAGTTGTACTGCAGAAACGGTCCATTGTGTTGGTTTCTCCAGTGAAAGTCTTTGGCAATTTCACTCCAAAATTCTAAGGAAAAAAAGAGAGAGAGAAAAACATTCAAAGATAAAAACAAAGGTAAAACAACAAGACAACAATAAATAGATAAAAATGAGCAGCTCTTATATTTATTATTCTACGAATTTTAAAATCACATTCTATGTCGACTGTGTTTTAGACTTTTGTTTCATGTATTTTAATATGTTTATGTTTTAATATATGTTTTATGGTTGTATTTTAACTATATGTGCTTTTTGTTGGGATTCTACCCCACACTGCCCAAGTCTCAAGTCCTCAATGAGGAACAAGTTAGTTAACTTAGAATAGGCTGAGGGTTTCCTTTCCCCCATGTCTCCTGTATGACTTTTGGGAATACAGTAGAGTCTTGCTTATCTAACATAAACGGGCTGGCAAAACATTGGATAAACGAAAATGTTGAATAAGGAATGATTAAGGAAAAGACTATTAAACATCAAATTACATGATTTTACAAATTAAGCACCAAAATGTTTTACAACAAATCGACAGAAAAAGCAGTTCAATACATGGTAACGTTATGTAGTAATTACTGTATTTACAAATTTAGCATCAAAACATCACAATGTATTGAAACAGCTGTGGATCCAGATGGGAGGCAAACTGTGTTGGATAATACAGAACACTGGATAAGCAAAGGTTGGATAAGCGAGACTCTGTTTATCTACTACCTCTCTCTGTTTCTGATTGGTTGTATAGAATGGATACTTTCTATTGCAAGCTTTTACTTTCAACTTTAGTTCATTATATCTTGGTATATGCTAAGTGAAGATCTATCTCTCTTTGCTTATGTGTCAGAGAGATGAAGTGCATGATGCTTTTTTCCTCTCTTTCAAACCTTTGAAGAGATAGGTATTAGAGTAGCTCAGACCCAGTTCTTAACTATTGAGAAATGCAGTTTATTTCTTATTTTTGTAAATTAAACATTTTGTGATTTTTAAGATAGAACTCTGCATCTTTGTCTGCCTAAGCTCTTTACAGCTACATCACACGGCACTTCATGCTTTGCTTGCTGTGAGCTGAATGCGCAACTTTTAGTATCCTGTTTGTATTTTGGGTATTCAGCTTATTTTGGGTAGTTTTCCCTAACACTTTTGTAGATGTATTTGACTATGTTCTGCCCTATCTCGAACCAAAAGGAGAGGTGAGTAATAAATAAAATTATTATCATCACCGCCATAAGGTCAGATTTTATATACTGCATAGACGTATGAATTGTCAAAGGCTTCGCATACTATCATGTTCAGTTGTTTGCTTCCCATTTTTAAAATTGCAAAACAGTGCTTAAAACCACTTTTTTGCATCTATTACGATTTATTTTGTATCAAATGCACTGCATAAAAATAGTATAAAACTGATAAAAACAGAAGGAGCACAAGCGGCTAAGTATCTTTTGACCAAAAATGGGCAACAGCGCCCGCATTGTCTGTAGCCTCAAACAATTCTTCCTCTGTACATTAGGCAGGACATTGCGGACAAGCATACAGATGCAGAGTTTCTCTTCTGCTCCACAGTAGTACAAGGTGGAGGATTCTTTTAGGCAGTGCCATTTTGTCAGGTTGTCTTTTGATCTGCCCACCCCACTTCTGAGTCTGTTCAGGGACATTCAAGTTGCCCATTCTTGGTTTGCCCCTAGAGGCAGACCCTCGTGGGGGGGGGGGGGGGATCTATTTAGGATTTCCTTCTTTAACTGCCCAGAAGAATACTCTTGCAGTTGCTGGGGAAACGTTAAGAGGAGTGGTAGTTCTCATTAAGCTTTTCCTTGATTTGATTCTACTAAGAGGAGGCTGATAGCTATGCAGTGGGTGGTTTTTGAAATAGGGGACATGTAAAGAGCCCCTTTGAAGACTGAGTAAATACAGTTGGGCGTTCCCTGTGCAAAGTTTCTTGTAAATGGCTAATATTTCCAAACCCAAAAGCATTGCTTTTAAACATTTTAAATTGGAGGTGTGTTTTTTTCCTCCACAGATGGATGAACATCAAAGGTCTTTATCAAGACCATTGCTAACCATTATGTCTATTAATATAGAGGTTTGTCAACTGCTAAGGAAGAGCTACTGGCCAAAATGTCTGAGGACATTTTGTGTGACATCTTATGTTTACAGGAAACACACAGAGACATCACAATGAGAAGACCAAAAATCCTCGGAATGCAACTGGCAGTGGAACGACCACACAGACAATATGGCAGTGCCATTTTTGCACCATCCATTAAGATATCCACTGCTAATCACAATGTATTCCCCATGTTTTTAATGTAGTTGCCAAAATACACAATACTTCTGCTTTAATGTAGAAATTCTCTGACAATGGTATTTACCAACTTCCAGAAACTTAAACAAATTAGTTTGTTGCTAGAAAGACAAAAAGATCCATGAAGAACCTTAAAGATAACAAAGGTGAAGTACATTTGGGCCAACAAAACGTTATGCTATCCATGACTAATTTGCTACCTCCAAGGTGCAAAAAGATGTTTTTAATGTGTCCAATATTTCCTAAACATGCTAAAATTATGCCAAATAAAATCTGATTTATAAAGTGCCCTTCACCAGCACTGGAAACATATCCCAGAACTGTCAGTATCAGTTTGAGCAATAAATCTATGTACAGAAGAGCTGTGTTCATTCATTTGACAGATACTAACAGAGAACACCACAACTTCCACACTAGATTCTATCAAACAAAGGGTCAATTATATTTTCTAATGTTGAAATTCAGAAAAATGTCACAGATGGAAATTGGACTAAATATTTTCTCTCTGGATACACCTGGATGCTTGAGGTATGGACAGATGGAAGGCACTTCCATGTAGTTAATTCTGAATCTACTGGGATGTACCCAGGAAAGTCTTCTCACAGTACATAATTCCTATCATAATTCCTCATAAATGTTGAAAGGCACAGTGCTAAAAACTACAGTTAAACATACTTCCTCATTTCTGCAATCACTTAAAGGAACGCTTTCATTGTGGTATTTGCATTAATCAAGGAAATGACAACAGCTATTGTACGGCAGCACTTCCTGGTACAGATAACTTCACATTTCCAACTTATCCAAACAGAACATCACACCCATAATTTTTCTTTATGATTTATTCCTAATGACTCATTTGGTCTCCACTAAATCAGCACTGCAGAATGGGATCCTTTTTTAAGTCATTGCAAAAATTCAGTGTCCTCTAAGCTAGCAATCAATGCCCGTGTTGCTAAATTATGGGGATAGAAAATAATCATGAGAGCCAGTGTTGTGGTTTGATTATTAGACTATAACTTTGGAGAGCAGGGTTCAAATTCCTGTTCAGCTATAATAAACCTCTGAGTGACCCTGGGCAAGCAACAGTCTCTCTCAGAATGCATCAACACCAGGCATGGGCAAATTTCGGCCCTCCTGTGTTTTGGACTTCAACCCCCACAATTCCTAACAGTCGCTGGAGGACCGAAGTTTACCCTTGCTTGGCATAGATGCATCCTTTTTCTCCCTCCTCCTTGATATTGTTGGACTGCCACTCCAATCATCCCTATCCTGTTTGGACTACTGCAATACTCTCTAAGCAGGGATGCCTTTGAAGACATTTCAGAAGCTGTAATTAGTGCAGAGATCGGCAGCTAGACTGCTGCATTGCTGTGGCCCTCAGAAAACAGAGGAATTCCAGGCATGAAACAATAGACAGAAGAAACAGATGGAAGAGACATTGATAGATGGAACAGAGGGTAGATAGATAGACAGACAGACAGACGCACGTCTTTAAGATCAAAGGGGGTTGGACTGGATGGTCTTTGGGGCACCCTTCCAACTGGTTGGCCATTTGTCAGGTAGGCTTTGATGGTGTCTTCCTTTACCACCCAATGAGGTTTGACTGGATGGCCTTTGGGGCTCCTTTCTAACTTGATGGCCATCAGTCAGGAGGGCTTTGATGGTGTCTTCCTTTAATGCAAAAAGTGGTTCGGCTGGATGGTCTTTGAGGCTCCTTTAACTACCATGGCTCAATGTTGTGGAATAATTCCATGGTGTAGACCAGGTATGGGCAAACTTGGGCCTCCAGGGGTTTTGGACTCCAACTCCCACAATTCCTAACAGCCTTTTGGGGTTGGAGTTGTTTTTGTCGCTTTTCTGAGTGATGGTCACTTGTTGGCCTGATAGCTGTATTCGTCCAATGGTTTTTGAACCTAAGAGAAGAAAGCAAGATAAGTGGTGAACTTTCAACTATCCAGGCAGTTGCTTTGGCTGATCTTCTAGAGCAGTGGTTCTCAACCTGTGAGTCACCAGATGTTTTGGCCTTCAACTCCCAGAAATCCTAACAGCTGGTAAACTGGCTGGGATTACCGGGCACCCGGGGACCCACAGGTTGAGAACCACTGTTCTAGAGGCATTTTCTCCTGAACATATATAGCCATATAGCCCGAAAAAACCTACAACAACCCAGTGATTCCGGCCATGAAACTCTTTGACAATACATTACATTTTTATTTATATAGGTACATAACATCTGTATAAAAGAACATAAAAACATGATATCAATATATAGGACAAGCATTTAGGGAAGCGTCTGTGCTTTAGCGTGGCCCACAGAGAGCAATAGGGAACGCGTGGAAATTTACAAGTAAAGGCATGCCATGTGCAGCTGAAAAATAGCTGAGGATCCTGGACTGTTAACAAGTTCCCTGCTTGCTTCACGTCCCAAGTTTTGCAAAGACAGAATAAGCATCTACCCTGAATATTTTGACATAGGATGCCTTGCAGAGTTAAGGTTTGTGGGATAGACAGGGAAGAGGGAGGGAAAGGATGCACCTAGTGTCAGGCATGGGCCAACTTGGGCCTTCTCTCCAGGTGTTTTGGACTTCAACTCCCACCATTCCTAACAGCCTCAGCCCTTTCCTTTCCCCCCTCAGCCGCTTAAGCGGCTGAGGGGGAAAAGGAAGGGGCCTGAGGCTGTTAGGAATGGTGGGAGTTGAAGTCCAAAACACCTGGAGAGAAGGCCCAAGTTGGCCCATGCATGAGCTATCTCAACCTGCTAATTTGCATATGGTTTCTGATTGGCCAGCCTCAACATTCTAACACAGCGAGGAAGGGGCCTGGAGGGAAGGCCGCCGCCTCCACCACTCACCCTGGGGCTCCTCCACAGAGCGGCGGTAAAGCTCCCGGTACTTTTCCAAGGAGGGGACATGCGCCTCCCGCGCCTGCTCCGCCGGGGCTCGGAAGAGGAGCAGGCCGCCGCCAACCACGTCGCGCTCCTCGTCGGGAAGCACCATCCTGCCTGTCCTTCGAAAAGGAGGACTGAAGACAAGCCAGGCCGGGCCGCGGCTTCCCTTTGGCTCTGGAGGCGAGGGAGGGGCAGGCGGGAAAGGGAAGAGGAGGAGCCGCCAGGCGGCACAAGCCCCGCCCACCAGTTCGACCCCGCCTGAACCTCAAAATGGCCACGCCCACCAGCATAGCCACGCCCCCCACTACGTCGACTCCCGTGCGCTTATTAGACTGGCCACGCCCCGGGCTGGTCCCGCCCACCGACCCTTCCACGCCCACCTCCACCAAAGGCCTTTGCAAGGTCGTAATCCCTTGAGGGAGGGGAGGAGAACCTCATCTGAGTATAAGTGGATGAGGCTCGGCCTTAAAGGAAAAGCTTCCTTTTTTAAAAAAAACTTCTTTCAGTATAATAATAATAATTCAGCAAACAGGCCTTTTTACCTCAGAAAAGGGCACTTTTTGCTTCAGAAAAGCCATTTTTACCTCAGAAAGGCCACTTTGCCCCACAAAACCCTTTTTTACCTCGGAAAAGGTCATTTTGCATCAGAAAATCTTTTCTACCTCAGAAAAAGCTTTTTTAACTTCAGAAAAGGCCACTTTTGGCTGAGAAAAGCCTTTTTTTTACTTTGGAAAAGGCCACATTCGGCTCAGATAGGCCTTTTTTTACCTCAGAAAAGCCTTTTTTTTAACCTCACAAAAGGCCACTTTGCCTCAGAAAAACCTTAACTTCAAAAAAGGCCACTTTGCTTTAGAAAAACTTTTCTACCTCAGAAAAGGCCTTTTTAACTTCAGAAAAGGCCTTTTTAACTTCAGAAAAGGCCACTTTTGGCTCAGAAAAGCCTTTTTTTTTACTTCAGAAAAGGCGACATTCAGCTCAGATAGGCCTTTTTCTACCTCAGAAAAGGAAGGGGCCTGAGGCTGTTAGGAATGGTGGGAGTTGAAGTCAGAAAAGGCCTCAGAAAAGGCCACTTTGCCTCAGAAAAAAATATTTTTTAACCTCAGAAAAGGCCACTTTGCTTTAGAAAAACCTTTCTTACCTCAGCAAAGGCCTTTTTTTAACCTCAGAAAAGGCGACTTTTGGCTCAGAAAAGCCTTTTTTATCTCAGAAACGGCCACATTCGGCTCAGATAGGTCTTTCTTATCTCAGAAAAGGCCACTTTTTCCTCAGAAAAGGGCTTTTTTACCTCAGAAAAAGCAATTTTTGCCTCTAACTCCACAGAGGGAGGAGGAGAGGGAGAGAGAGAGGACACACTTCTCTTTGCAGATTGAGTGCCATTTGGGACCAGGCTTTTGGACAATAGATGAAAGCAGCACTTTAAGGGAATGTGACTGGAATGACGATATGGCTGATGAGACTGTTTTACTGTTTTAACGATGGCTTATGTATTGTTAATTATGCTTTTATGTCTAATTGTGGTTTTAATTTTGTAATTTGTTATGTAATGGTTTCGGAATGGGGCCCATTGTAAGCCGTCCTGAGCCCCCCTTCGGGGGTTGAGAAGGACGGGATAGAAATGTGAGAAATAAATAAATAAATAAATAAATTTGATACCTTGAACTTCCATGGCTCAATGTTATGGCATCATGGATGTTGTAGTTTTACAACGTCTTTGGTCTTCTCTGTTACAAGAGTGCTGTGGCCTCATCAAGATACAACTCCTAGGATTGCATAGCATTGAACCATGGCAGTTCAATGGTGCATCTACACTGTTAGAATTAATGCAATTCAGCACTACTTTACCTGCTATGGCTCAGTGCTGTGGAATCATGGGATTTGTAGTTTGGTGAGGTACCAGCACTCTTTGGCAGAGAAGGATAAATACCCTGGAAAACTACAGCTCCCATGATTCCATTGCATTCCATTGTGTTTAAAGTGGCATCAAACTGCATTAATTTTACAGTGTAGATGCACCCATAGAGAGAGGGAGAGAGGCTTTGGAGAAGGGATCCAAGCTGAAACACGAAATTTGTGGATGTTGCCAAAATACCTTATACATACAGCCTGAAGGTAAGTTTATATGCAATACAAGTCAAGGATCCTTTATCCAAAATGCTTGGGACAAGACGTATTTGGATTTCAGATCTGTGCTAATTGCATATACATGAGAGAGAAATCTGGGAGATGAGTCCCAAGTCTAAACATGAAACTCATTAATGTTTCTTATAAACCTTAAACAAATAGCCTGAAGATAGTTTATATGCACAATGCAAATCACGTGTTACTTATCTGAAATGCTTGGGGCTAGAAGGAAATTGGAATAAATTCATATACATAATGATTGCTCTTGGATATAGGACCCAAGTCTAAACATGAAACGCGTTTATGTCTCCTATATACCTTATTCACATAACCACATATACACAACGCAGCTCAAGGATCTTTTATCTGGAATGCCCAGGACCAGAAGTGTTTTGAATTCAGGGATACCTATATTTGCATATATTTGCATAATGAGATACCTTGGAGATGGGACCCAAGTCTGAACATGAAATTCATTTATGTTTCATAGACAGTTTATACCAGGCATGGGCCAACTTGGGCCCGCCAGATATTTTGGACTTCAACTCCCACCATTCCAAACAGCCTCGGGCCTCTTCCTTTTCCTTTCCCTCCCGAGGAAGGAGGGAAAGGGCCCGAGGCTGTTAGGAATGGTGGGAGTTGAAATCCAAAATACCTGGCGGGCCCAAGTTGGCCCATGCCTGGTTTATACACATAGCTTGAAGGTATCTGATCCCAGATTATCTGCTTTGAACTGGATTATATGAGTCTACAGTGCCATATAATCCAGTTCAAAGCAGATAATATGAGATCAGAAGCTGGATTGTATGGCTGTGTAAATGGAGCCTAATAAGAATAAAAATAATAATAAATAAACTTTATTTGTATACCGCCCTATCTCCCTGAGGGGGCTCAGGGTGGTTTTCAACAGGCAAAACATTCAGTTACATCCTGTATAGACTACTGCAACTCACTCTACGTGGGGCTGCCTTTGAAGACTGTTCGGAAGCTTCAAATGGTCCAACGGGTGGCAGTCAGATTGCTCACTAGAACGGCATTCAAGGAGCATGCAACTTCATTACGCCAGCTCCACTGGATGCCGGTTTGCTACCGAGCACAATTCAAAGTGCTGGCTATAGCCTTTAAAGCCCTAAACGGTTCCGGCCCAGCTTACCTGTCCGAACGTATCTCTTCCTATGAACCATGTAGGAGTTTAAGATCATCTGGGGAAACCTGCTCTCGGTCCCATCTTCTTCTCAGGCGCAACTGGCGGGAATGAGAGAAAGGGGCTTCTCAGTGGTGGCCCCTCGGCTGTGGAACTCCCTCCCTAGGAATATTAGATCAGCCTCTTCCCTCCTGACCTTCCGCAGAAAAGTGAAAACATGGCTTTTTGAACAAGCCTTTAGGAACCTAGTGCAATAAATGGAACTATGTGAAATCGAATACTGTAATGGATTAGACTATGTTTCTAGATGATGAGGCTAATAGTGAAGATTGTGGTTTTGTATGTTTTTTAAAAGTTTTAATGTATGTATTTTATAATTCTGTTTTAAATGTTTATTGCAATCTTTACATTCATTTAATGGCATCGAATAGCTGCCTATGTTGTAAAGCCGCCTTGAGTCACCTTCGGGTTCAAGAAAGGCGAGGTAGAAATATTGTAAATAAATAAATAAATTCCCACAAAAACATACAGAATAACCATTATAAAACATAAACATAATACTATTAAAACAAGTCATATACATTTAAAAGCCAGTTCCAATACTATTACATTGGGCAAATTTGGACTACCAATGTCCAAAATTTCAGAGTGGGTCTAGTCACTATGAGAGCGCTGGGCCAGGCTAGTGCAATGAAGTAACATACGACCGGAGGAGTGGGTAAAGTGCAGAGCAGGGTCCTAACTGATGGCCAGGGCAGGGCCTGAGGCTACTTATTTCCAAGGCCCGCTGGACAGCTATCAGGGGGCTGAGCCAGGGCTAGTACCACAAGGTAGCATAGGCTCTGGGGCTAATCACTTCCAAAGGCCTGCTGGCACCACCAGGTCTTTAGGTCCCTGTGGAAGGTGGATAGAGCCTTGCAGTTCACAAAACCTTATGTTAAGTAAAAACAGTGTCAGTCTTTCAATGATATACAGTAATAGTAATAATAATAATAATAATAATTATTATTATTAATAGCCCACCACCATCTCCTAAAAGGAATTCAGGGAGGCTTACAAGGCACCACAAGCGTAGTATATAAAATAAGTGGTACATTAGCGCATATATATATATATATATATATATATATATATATATATATATTGGGGGGGCATGGTACCCAAATCAAGTACACTTGGTCCCCAATGAAATAAGTGGGACTAAAATCACTACAGGTTATTCGCACTGGTTTCAGTGAGTTCAAAATGCAACTAAGGAAGGCCAAGGAAATGAGAGAACAGAGCTATATGTTTAATATATGTGGGACGGGGAATTTCAGGAGCTCCAGTTCTCATGGCAAGCTGCACCTGCTGAAATTCCTGTTTCTTCATGTAGATATGTTGTAATGTATTGTACATTACAACATATCTGCCTAAAATACTTCTCAGTGTCTAGTCATGGAGCCTTTTATTTTAGGTAGCCCCACGGTCAGTGTCCTCTGACCGGTCATTCAGGAACAGCATGATTCCTTTTAGGGTGGGAATTCCCAATCATGCCACTTAGGCTGGATTTTTTCATCTCTTTTCATAGTGGAACGTTTGGCATCAGTTACCCAGAAGTCAAGGCCAGGTTCACATTGGACTGTAATACTGGCCAGTGGGGCAAGATCCAGTCACCTCATCATTTTTGGCACAAAGAGCAGAATGCTTGTATCTGTCAAAAGAATTTTATCCTGGCTTCCTTTAAATCTCCCTTTCTCTACTCTTCTTCAGTGCCATGCCCATTAGTCAACACTTTCTAAAGCTATTAATAGGTAAAATACCAGGCCATCTTTATGCAAAGTGAACAATACTTCACTGAGCAGTATAAACTACAGAGAAGAGAACTATTAACCATGTGATTGCATTTGCAGCTATTATTATGTGGATAGTTTAAAATAGCATGGTAGAAAATGGAAGGAATTCTGAAACATTTGTCCAAACATTG